GGGGAACGATTGAGGTTGACAGGTTCTAAAAAGTGTGGATGTCTATTTCTATTAAGAGGGAAAAAATTACCTACAAATTACCGAGACAAATTGTAATAACATGTTTGATTGATGGATGTAAACAATGACAGATTTTATGGATATTTGTACACTTAATGTTTTTATGAATAATTTTATGGATACTTTTTATGTATGATTTTATGGATGCGTGTTTGATTTATGAATTTTTTTATAGCTGCTTCAAGATAAAAGTAAATCTTTCAATGTACAACAACGGGTGCCTAAACAACTCTATTGTAGTTTGGCAACATGACACTAGAGTAATCTCATTTGTATAATAATATATCACTGAACATGCACTTCACAAGTGATCCAAATTAATTTCTTGTTATCATCTAATTGGACGGCAACATAATGTTGAGGGAAAAAAATTTGTCCGGTAACATGGCATTGGAATAATTCAAATTAATTAGCGTTGTATTACCGAGCAAGCCCACTACAAATTAAAAAATCATTGTTTGGAAGAAAATGTCTCTATAAATGTATAGCAACAAAATGCTGAAGAAATCTATTTGTTTCGACAGCATAACATCGGAATAATGTAAATTGTTTAGCACAGTGTTACCAAAATTAATGGTGTAAAGAAATGAAGTAGTTAATTTATAGTTAGTTTTGGTAATATATTGGGGGTATAATGATAATTATATTTTTTTTAGTGGATAAAGGGTGTAAAGAGATTAAATAGTGGTGTAAGTAGAATCACCCCAAAACAAATTCAATACTCCATTAAGTCCTCAACATGCTACTTTCACAACTCTACACTCAAATCGTAACCAAATACATAACAAAAAAATTAAAATATTTAAAAATATTTTTATAAAATAGAGTTTGAATTTATTTTTATAAAATATTTAAAATTTTAAAAAATTAAAATCCTAATATTTTGAAATTAAAATATTTAAGAATATTCAAAAAATTAAAAAATTAAAAAAATTGTAACATATTTAAATATTTAAAATCTTAACAAAATTAAAATATTTTTAAAATATTTAAAAAATTAAAATATTGATTTGAATTGAGTTTTGAAAAGAGTTTTGAATTATGTGTTTGATTATGAGTTTTGAAAAGTAATGATTATGTTTTGAATTGAGTTTTAAAAAATGGATGTAGAATTATGATTTGAAAACTCAAAACAAACACCACACTCTAATCAATGGGTGGAACTATAATTTGAAAAGCTTACCAAACGGAGCCTCTGTTTTTCCAAAACATCCAAAATCATTTCTAACAAATTGATGGTCAACTTGATCTTCCTCGTGGAAGATTTTGTTTATTGTTATTAACAAAAAGAAACTTTATTTATGGAGTAAATGTATTACATAAATATATACATCAATAAAGTGTGAGGTAAAAGCAAAAAGTATTATAGCGAAAATTCGTAACGTAAATATTTTCAACTCTTTTGAATGTGTTATTATCAATGTGTATGCTCCTGATGATACTGTGAGGAGAGGGAGATTATGGGAAAGTCCAATAAACTTGAAAGCATCTTTTCCCACACCTTGGTGTGTAGGTGGTGATTTTAATGAAATTAGAAATGTGGATGATAGAGTGGGATGTTCAAGAAGGGATAGGGGTATGAAAGACTTCAATGATTTCATAGATAAGTGTGAGTTGACTGAGATACAAATGATGCGTAGGAAATTCACTTGGTGCAATGCAATTGATGGAAACAAGTGGAGTAAAATTGATAGATTCCTGCTTAGTCCTGAGTGGTTGGAAAGATTCAAGCTCAAACTTTGGGGACTACCTAGACTCATTTATGATCATTGCCCTCTAGCACTTTTGGAAGATGATAGGGACTGGGGACCCAAACCTTTTAAGTTCACAAATGCGTGGCTGTTACATCCTAATTTTGTATCCTTTCTGGTGAAAGTTTGGCAAGAGACACAAATAAATGGCAGAGCGGGTTTCATATTGCATAGGAAATTACATGCATTGAAGTTAGCATTAAAGAAATGGAGCAAAGAGGTGTTTGGTAATGTCTCAGAAAAAATTAAAGAAGTTGAGTGTCAACTGCATTCTTTGGATTTATTGGCTAAAGATAGACCCTTGTTGGAAGCAGAGTTGAAGTTAAAAAGAGAGGGAAGAAGTGAAATGTGGAGGCTCAATAGAATGTTGGAATGGGAATGGTTGCAAAAGTTAAGATTGGAGTGGACTTTAAAAGGGGACAGAAACACAAGGTTTTCTCATGTGATGGCCAGCAGTAGGCATAATAGGAATGCATTGAATTCTATTTTAGTTGAAGAGAGGGTGGTTGAGGATCCAGAGCAAGTGAAGCAAGAGGTATGGGCTCATCTTAACGGGCACTTTTCAAAAGAATGGAGGATCAGACCTATTTTAATTGGTGACTTCAAGAGTGTCAGCTGTAGTGCTTGTTTTCAGCAGTTGGAAGCAAAGTTCTCAGAGGAGGAGATATGGGTAGCAGTGCAAGAATGCAATGGAAATAAAGCACCAGGTCCAGATGGCTTCAACTTCATGTGTTTTCAAAAGAACTAGAAGGTGTTTAAAGAAAAGGTGATGCTTTTCATGAAGGAGTTTTACAGTATGGGTAGATTGGCTTATGGAATGAATAGCTCTTTCATCACATTAATTCCTAAGAAGGTCAATGCTCTCAATCTAAATGAATATAGGCCAATAAACTTGATTGGGTCAATGTACAAGTTGTTGTCTAAGGTTCTTGCAAGTAGACTAAAACCAGTTTTGCCAAAAGTAATTAGTGAAACTCAATCAGCTTTTTTGAGTGGAAGGAATATCTTGGATGGTGTTTTGATTGCGAATGAAATTGTGGATGGATGGAAGAAAGCCAAGAACAAGGCGCAGTTGTTCAAACTTGATTTTGAGAAAGCTTATGACTCCATCAATTGGGGTTTTTTGTTTTCCATGCTATCAAATTTTGGTTTTGGTTCTAAATGGATTTCTTGGATGAAAGAATGTATTTCAACTGCTAGAATTTCAGTACTTGTGAATGGGTCACCAACTAAAGAGTTTAGTCCTCCAAAAGGTCTCAGACAGGGTGATCCATTATCGCCTTTTTCTGTTTAACTTGGCATCTGAAGGCCTTAATATTCTATTACTCAAAACAAGGGAGTTAGGATTGATTAAAGGGATACATATTGGTGTCAATAGGGTGGTTGTTTCATATCTACAATTTGCTGATGATTCACTACTATTCTATGAAGCTGATGTGTAGGAGGTGATGAATTTGAAAAGAATCTTAAGATGTTTTGAAATGGTCTCAGTGCTTAAGATTAATTTGCATAAGAGTGTGGTTTTTGGAATTTCTGATAGTTTTCTCAAGGATTTTTCTATTTTTCTTAATTATAAAACCCAGAGTATGCCACTGAAATTCCTTGGTTTACCTTTGGGTGCTTCTCCAAGCAAAAAGAAGGTATGGAAACCTGCTATTGACAAGATCAAAATCAAACTTGATGGGTGGAAAATGAGGCTTCTTTCCTTTGCTAGCAGACTGACACTAATCAAGTTAGTGTTATCCAATTTGCCTGTGTATTATCTATCACTCTTTAAGATGCCAGAAGGTGTTACAAAGGAAATCGATCGATTACAAACTATGTTCTTGTTGGGGGGGGCACAAAATTGAAAAGAAAGATTCATCTAGTGCAATAGAAAGAGCTAACCAAAAGCATTAGTCAAGGTGGGTTAGGAATTAGGAGAATCAGAGAGGTTAATGCTTGCCTATTAATGAAATGGTGGCGGAGATTTGCCAATGAAGAGGAGGCACTATGGGAAAAAGTGGTCTGCAATAAATATAAAATTGAAGAAGGAGCATGGCTTCCAAATCAAACAGTTGGCATAAGATGGTCTAAGGTATGGGGTGATATACTAGCTGTGGCAGAGCAAAGAAACACCCTTCTATAATTTTTTGTTGACAATCTTCATATTAAAGTGGGTAATGGGAGCAGAGTGAGATTTTGGCAGGATAAATGGTGTGGTGACTTTTGTCTAAAAAAGGGTTTCCCTAGACTTTATTCTCTGCCCACTGTTAAAAATGGTTCCCTGAAGTTCTTTGTTGATAACAAAGGAAGCTCTGAGATGTGGGATCTCAATTTAAGAAGGCCTTTGCTTCAGTAAGAGGGTGAGGAGGCATCCAGACTCACTGAAGTGCTAAGAGCAGCACCTGCACTTTGTTCGGGTGAAAAAGATAAACCAAGGTGGCTTCCATGCCAAACAATTTAGTCCTTTATTGCATCTCTTTATAGGCACTATGAATTGGGTTTTGGTGTTTTTAAGAGTTCTAGTAGATTGGTGTAGATTAATTACCTCCCTCCCAAAGTTCAATTTTTTGGGTGGTTAGCTTGGAAACATAAACTTAAAACTTCTGTTTTCCGTCAAAGGGTTGGAGTTCTGGGTGAGGGAGCATCCATTCTGTGTGTTTTTTGTAAATCTTAGGCAGAATCTGTCGAACATGTTCTCATTTCTTGCCCTATGGTTTGAAAGGTCTGGACTGGCCTATTGCAGTGGTGGGGAATAATATGGGTTATGCTTGGTTATGTTGACTGCTTATTGCATTGGTGGGTTGGGAACTGCCTCATGAAAACTGAAAGAAGGATATAGAAAGTTATCCCTTTGGTTTCTCTATGGTCTATTTGGAAACATAGAAATGATTGTTTGTTCAATAATGTTCAGCCAGAAATGAAGGAGTTGCAGGAGTCAATTATTATTAGATTAGCTATTTGGCTGAAAGCTTCTTCTACGTATTGTCAGTTTACTATTAATGACTTTATCTACAGCATCTGGCAGATTAGAGTTTGTTTAGGTGGTAAGGTTCGTTGCAATTTACAATGACATCCATGTCTCCTGGTGTGCAGCAGCAGGTGTTTATGGTCTGGCTCTGTATCTATTCTGTTTGCAGCTCTATGGATTTGGTGGCTGAGTTTGTTTGCATATTTGAGTTTGTTTGCAGTTCTATGGGTCTGTGGGTTTGCAGCTCTGTGGGTTTGGTATCTATTCTGTTTGCAGCTCTGTGCTCTTGGTTTCTATTTTGTTATGCTGTGCTGTGGGCATCTGGGTTTTTTTGCAAATTTTGGCATGAGGTTTTGGTCATGTGGGACTGCTGATTTGGGCTAATCTTGGTCAAGTTTTGTATCATACATGGAGGTTAAATGATTTGGCTCAAGTCTGGTGGCATGCAGCAGATGCTTGGTTAGGTATAGAGGGTCAGTGGTCCTTTATTCCACTGCTATCACTCTGCTGCTGATACTCTGCTTGCCCATATGAGTTTTTTAATGGTTCATCAGTCTATAATTGGTGTGAATCCCTTCTGGGACCTGAAATAGATGCTCTGCTCTGGTGTTGTGTTTGGTCTCACTAATTAGTTTTCTGTTTTTTGAATGTGTGGATGTTGGTTTGTTTGTTTGTTGAATTGGTTGTTGATTTGAATGGAGGTCATGGCAGCAAGGCTCTAGTTTGTTATGTTTTGTTGATTGGCTTGATGAATTTGTTGTTGATTTGGTGAAAGGTTGTTGTTGGGGTAAAGGGTTGAGCTGCTGTGGAGTAAGGTCTGCTGCTGGTGTAAGGTCTGATGCCTATGGTCTGCCATGGAGTAAGGTCTGTTCAATGGATTGGCCTACTGTATGTTGCTGGTCTATTTGATTGGTCTAGTCTGTGCAGCTGCTACTGGGTATTTTGCTCTGTTGATGCTGGTTTTGTTGTTCTGTTTTTTGTCCTTCTCTTTCCTTTGGTTCCTTTTGATTGGTTTCTCACCAATCTTGGATCAAGTGCTTGCAAATGATTGTGCTTCCTTAACGGTGCCAACCTAGTTGGAATTGTTAAGGTTAGTGTTGATGCTCTTTGCACTTCTTTCTTTATTGATGTAAGCTTTTGCATGTAATGCTTTCTTCATCAATAAAGTTTCACTTTGTTGACCAAAAAAGGAAAAAAAGCTAGGTTGGTACCAAGAAAAAACATTCAATCATATGCTAGCTCAAGCCAAAGTATTAGTGAGTGACCAACAAGAGAGACACAAAGATAAAGGCCAAACAAGTTACAAATAGTGAAATAAATCAATCAAAAAGCATCAGACTAGCTTCCACTTGATACACAGGAACTTAAGCAATGGTCCCACCATAGCCATCTATAGCAGCTTATGACTTTATAGTTTTTCAGTCCTTCCAGATTGAACATGAAGTCATGAATTGAGTAGTCCTTGAGATTAGCTGAAAGCTTCACCCAATAGGCTACTTTAATTTTGATACTTTCCACCAAATCATCCCATCTTGGATCTTTGTTGTTGAAAACTTTCTCATTTCTTACAATCCACAGAGTCTACAGTGTTGCTAATGGTAATGCTTCCCATATGAGTTTTCCCATAAGTTTGAATTTTTGTCCATACCACCACACTAGCAAATCAGATAATGAACCTGGAACTGCCCAAGAAAGTCCCCACCAAATTGAAATTTCCATCCATACCTGCCATGTGAATTGGCATTGCAGCAGCAGGTGAGATGAGTTTCCCTTTTCAAGTCCATAGAAAGCACACAGGTTTGGAGCAGGAATAATGTGTCTTTTGAAAAGTAAATCAGAAGATGCAATGTGCTTCTACCAAACTAGCCAACCAAATGCTTTCTGCCACTGACTTCCACAACTTCATCATTGGGAAAGGTGTTGAGTGTATGAATCTTTAAAAATACCATATAGAGAAAGTTCCACTAGATGATGGAGAATTCCAGACCAAAGTACCCGTACTCCTCCTTTTGTGAATTACTACTTTTTGCATCCTGGTAAGCAGATCCTGATTGAGCTCCTCTTCCCAAGCTCTAAGCCTTCTTCTATATTCAATATTCCAAATAGGTGGGTTGACTCCACTCTGCTGATGAAAGAGCTGTTGTACACTAGAGTTTTTATCAGAGGCGATGGAGAATAGCCTAGGATAGATTTCTGATAAAGACGGATTAGACACCTAGATTAGCAGTGCCTGAAAATTGATTGATTAGGCAACCAACTTGCATGATCAATATTGTTCTTTTCACAGAGGAATCTTCTCCAAAGTGCATCAGGCTCATTAGCATATCTCCGCCAACATTTGCATAGTAGAGTGTCATTGCAATCTTTAATTTTCCTGAATCCCAATCCCCCAAACTTTTTACTAAATGAGCAAGTTTCCCAATCCCCCAAACATTTGCATAGTAGAGTTCCCTTTTTTCATCATTTCCATCCCACCAGAATAATCTCTGGTATTTATCAATTTCAATGGCTACTTTAGATGGGAATTTGAAAAGGGACATATAATACAAAGGGAGAGAGGAAAGAACAGACTTGATTAGTGTGATCCTTCCACCAAGAGAAATATATCTTCTTTTCCAAGATGATAGCCCTTTCTTGACTTTCTCCAGAATTTTTTTTCCTCTTCGGAGGCCCAAGTGGCATTCCTAGGTAGTTTATTAGAAGGGAGTTCACATTGAAATTTAGGTAATCTACCACTTGGCTTCCAATTACACTTATCTTGTCGATCTAATGATATTGAAACAAATATATATTTG